AGAGAGAGAGAGAGAGAGAGAGAGAGAGAGAGAGAGAGAGAGAGAGAGAGAGAGAGAGAGAGAGTCGAGATAGGTGATGACCAGATCTGGGAGAGAGACATTCGACATGACCACCATGCACTCACGCCGAAGGTAAAGATCCGCAACAACAAAGGCGCATTCGCCGTTTATTCCAACATGGCCCCGGGCCAATCACTCACTCAACTCCAATCACCGAACCTCATACCTGCACCGACGATCCCGGCCGTCGCGTGCTAACTCCCATCACTGCGATCGTCACCCCGCTGTCGTAAGCTCGACACGGTTCGCCCGGATCCCACAGTCCGTCGTGGCAATCAAGCGTGCAACCGGCCAGCCTATCGTCAGCCCGACAGGACTTTCCGACTCGCATCAACATACTCTACCTAGCCACTGCTTCCCAGAAGCTGGCTTAGGAGTCGAGAACGTAAGACTCGGTAAGAGAGCTTTGCGGACGCGCTTGCGGGTTTTATAGTTGCGACAGGGGAGATAGATGGGGGAGAAGGCGACAGGAAAGTTGAGGTGTAAGAGGAGAAGCAGGAGGAGAAGACTTTGAGAAGAGGGTTTTACGAACGCCATGTTGATCGCTCGGAACTCAAGGTTCAACTAATCAGATTTGTCGCACGATAGGAAGGTCCTATCGATCCACGCACCTGATTGGCGAGCGGGAGCTATCGGGGGATCGATCGGGCGTCGTACGCCAGACGTAGAGGGTGAGAAGAGAAAAGGCCCGAGAGGTGGCGCAAGACGGGTCCAAGGTTCAAATGATCAAGAAAGGGAAATGGGCGCGCGAAAGCAAGGTGGGAGAGAGAGAGAGGGAGAAGGAAAAACAGTTACGGGGAGAGAGAAAAAACGAGGGAGAAGGGAAGGGAGGTGAGGGAGGGAGCGATGCGGGGGACAGAGAGGAGGAAGCTTTTGCATGCACGTCGCTGTCAACAAAAAAAGGAAAAAGGCACCGAAACAGTTACAGTTTGCTTCTATCCTAATTCAAAATTGAAATCACCATATCCACGCGCGAAAAAGCGACGCGGGAAAAGAAATTCCTACGCCTATTCAAAATTCCGAGAGTTTTCCCCGACGCGCCCAAGAACATTCACACACCCAAAAAGGACACATCGAAGTTCCGCTTATCCCGGAATTCCCAACTACCGAGCCCAATTCCCAGTGTGCTCGCTAAGGCGCACGTAAATTCCCATGTATTCCCGACTTTGCAAGGAGCAAAACAGAACTCAGCAGTCGGAAAAGCTCTCAAAAAGGAAAATGCGGCACCCGAAAGCAAGAACTCAAAATGGAGTTTTCCTGGGGTTGGTATGATATAAGCAAAAGAAAGGGTACGAAAGATAGCACGGGTTTGTGAAGTGGTTCGTGACATATGTGACGCGCGGGGGGTTCCAAAATTATGCGATCTCTTGATTGCATGTCACGGCGAAAAAGAAGAGGGAAGAACAGAGTGATGCATGAGGAACCAAACGTATCAACAGAGTAGAAGGAAGTACAAGGAACGATAACTTGAGCCGCGGATGAGATGGCGACATCATCCGTGACAAGATCTCTGCAGCCTTGTCATATGCAACCCTCTGCCTCGTGGAGATCGTCCAGGTGACGCCATCATGGTCCACCCGATCTCCTTGTGCTCTCCACCCCTGCTCGTTGCTGTCCGTCGAATCAGCGCGTAGGTTGACGTCATCATTGATGGCGTGATCTGTCGCGAAGCTTACTGATTCGTGGTGATGAAGGGAGGAAAGGAGAGAGGGGCGGGGGGGTCAAGTGAATGGGATCTACCACCGCCTAGTTGGAATAGGCCAGTAGAGGCGGTACATGCCGGGGATCTCGCGGGGATGACGGGG